TGTTTCCTCTATATGCCCCCATCCCCAATGCCCCTCCTATCTACGTGTACAGAGCAGCCACACAGGCCCCTTGGACCATGTGGCCGGGTCCCGATTGTGACCCCTGTGACCCATGTACTGTAGGTAAGCCCTTGCGCAGCCCATTAATTTTATATTAAGGTGGTCTTATCAGGCCCATTGTGATTCGATAAAAAGTACCTCAAGCACAAGAAATGGAATCAGTGGATTGTGGTAATGGGGCTTAAGAGCTGACCTTTGATACTCTGGACAAGACTCTGGACAATCCTTTAGTTGCAATACAGCTACTTCATGGCACACAGGTTGGAAACTGGTTTTGAAGGTTACCAATGCTGAGGAATACTTCTTACAGATGCTCAGTCAGTGTAAGAAAAACTCATCCAGTGAGCAATGAAAATTTCAGCATGAAACCACCAGTTACCATAGCCGATCCTAGTGTGGATGTATACATGCGAAAGCCTCAGTCAAGGCCGCTCCTTGGGCCATGCCTCCTGACATGTTTATCCCCACCCACCAAGGCTTAATCATAGGGTTCATTGCTCCCTCCCCACACCAGTACAGACCCCCTCCCTATTCATCAGTTTGTACTGTTGGGGAGGGAGGTCATCTTTACTGGAAGGGGGTCTGTACTGATGTGGAGGTCTGCTGGGGTGGGTGGGGCATCTGTACTAAGGGGAGGTCTGTACTGTGTAGTGTACTGTCCCATACAGACCTCTTCCTTCCCCACCAGTTTAGACTTGCTTCCTTCTAACCAATATTGACCCCTTTGCAGTACAGACCCCCCCTCCCTCCCTGCCAGTACAGATTCCCCTCCCTCTACATCTGCACAGATCCCTTCCTCCCATTAAGCCCACTCACCAGATGCAATGGAGAGATTAAGGGGCAGCATAAAGTCTTCCCTTCAGCTGTGTAATGTAACTGGAGTCAAGGTAGAGCTTCCCTCAATTATACATATGAATGAACCATTGAAAGAATTTGCAAATGAATGGACTGGTGAAGCACACCCATATGCAAATCCAGCCATCAGCTCATTTATTGAAAATTGTATGCTGGTTCATTCAGTTGCAAATCATTCAGTGATCTGAATATGAATGAGCATAGTGTATAAAGGCAGTCCCACATATTCTGGGAGGTATGCCACTATTGAGATCCAAAGCTGAGTGTTGAAATACGTGTACCAACACAAGACAAGGCCCCAAGTTACGAGACCCTGGGATTTAAACCTGGGATGGCTGTGGGGTATGCCTTTACCAAGTCCTCTACAGTGGAGATTCAGCAAAATGGTATGCTGTAAATACTGCAGAAACACACTTTTCATAATCCAAGGCTAATTTCACACTGCTGCGCTGCAGTTTGGCCTGTGGTTTTGATGCAGTTAACCCATGTTTATTCATGGAATTTCTATTAAGTTGTGTGTTTTTGACACATTTTCTGTGCAACAAATCTCCTCCATGTTGCATCTAGGGTTGCCACCTTTTCTTCAAGCCAAACCTGAACAGTTTAGCTTCCCATGGCAATTTTCTTTTTAGGGAGAACACTGTGGACTCTGGCTTAAAGGTGAACTCTGATTTAAGAGTGTTATTCCCCCTTAAATTAGGGTTTCCAAAGCCCCCCTTACAACAGAGACCACAGAGCACCCCGTACATAGTGTACTCACTCTCTTGGAGGCAGGAGAGAGAAGGGAGGGAAGGGGGGAGACTTCAGTCAAACAGTGGATGACAAGCTCACTCATTTGAAGATGGAGGCTCAGGAATCAACACCTTTCATCCATGATGTATCTGTTAGCTGCTGAGCTTTTACATTTCTTGTCCACACATCCCTTTTCTGAGGCATAGCACCCTGGAGGTTGGAGTGTGGGCAGGCAGACACAGAGTGGTAGAGGCAGGAGGAGGAGCAGAGTGAGCCCTTTCTCCTCTTCCATCCATGCAGGGAGAGGAGAGTACTGTGCTGGCTCTGGGCAGTGTGAAATGGAGTGTCAGAGACGCTTGGCTTAGTCATCTGCAGCCACAGGATTTGCATTTAGGGTTAATGCGAAGTTCCAGATTGTTGCTTCTGAGCAGAGAAAGCTGTGTTTTTGGCTTTCTCTGGGTTCTGTGATTCTGGATCGAACTTTCAATCCTGTATCCAGGTTTTGCCAGATGCCTGCAACCTGTCTGAGTGCACAGGTGTGCAGAGGTCATTATTTATACAGGTCTGAGCTCTGTGTTGTGGCCAGTTTGGAGACCTCTCCCAGTGTGGGCGAAGGAAAGTCTTACATGGGGTCAGGGGGCCTCAGCCAGAAGCCAAGAGACAGAGGGTCTCACGGAGGGGTCAGAGGTGCCCCAGCCAGAAGCCAAGAGACAGTGGGTCTCATCGAGGGGCCAGAGGTGCCCAGAGCCAGAAGCCAGGAGACAGCAGGTCTCAGTTCCAATAGTTAGTTTGGCTCCTATTGGGAGAACCTCAATCCATAGGCCAGAGGTGGGCCATGCAGCAGGGTGCTGCGACTAAAGGCTAGAGAGCCAAGTGTTCCAGTAGAGCTGGAGAACACAGTCAAAGGGACAGGTGAGAGAAACAGTAGTGCTGCCAACAAGTGAGCCAGGTGGCTTGGTATTTAATTTGTGCATATTTCTGTGGAAGAAACCCCTGCATGGGCAACAGATGTCCATCTGAACTTTCTGTTTATTGAATAAAAGTGGGCTGCTAGGCCCTAAAATACAGTTTTGGACTGGAACAACTCATTGTAAATGCATCTACTGCTTGAGTGTAATCACCTCAATCCCCACAATGTGTGTGTGTATATATATATATATATATATATATATATATATATACATACAGACACAAGCCACTCTTATAAATAAATGTTTTAAAATATGGACAATGTCAGTAGGGCAGTGGATGGTGTCCATAGAGCAGTGGACGTGTCAGTAGGGTAGGGGCTGGTGTCTGTAGGACAGTAGATGGTGTCGGGCAGTAGAGCAGTTCACGATGTCAGTACAGCAGTGATCATTGTTAGTAGGGAAAATTTTGGTGTAAGTAGGACAGTGGACAGTAGCAATAGTTTATTTTTTTATTTTTTTTTTCTTATTTTTTACAGTGTTATTTTTTTTATTCTTTGTTACAATATTCTTCTTTTACAATTTTTTTTAGGAGCCCCTGAGGTCAGAGATTCCCTATAGTCCCTTTCTCCACAGCCTCAGCTGCACTGGACAAAGAATGATGGGGAAGTGCTTTGTGCACTGATAACAGTTATCATTCACTCACTGGGGGTTATTTACTAAAGCTGGAGAGTGCAACATTTGGTGCACTTCTGCAGAGAAACCAATCAGGTTCCAGGTTTTATTGCCAAAGCTCAATTGAAGAAGCCGATCGGCTACCATACACAGGTGCACCAGATTCTGAGTGAACTAGCTTTAATAAATCTCCCCCCACTGTGTTCATTCAGAAAAAGTATGGTAAATGACATACTGTATTTACCAGCCCCTTCCCCACTCTCCATTCTGAAACGATCGACAGTGCTACGGGGAGCCACAGTCTGTTCTGAATAATGTGTCCTGAAGTTCTGAAACCCAGACACATGATTCAAAACTTAAATTGTCTGGGCAAATTCTGGACAAGTGGTAACCCTAGCTGCATCTTTGGTGTGCTTTCAGAAAACGCACCAAAAATTAGAGAATCTATGGGAAACTGCGGGTTTACCATTAAACACCCCAACGTATTCACTAAGCAGAATAAAGAATCTTTAGAAAATGTCAAGTTTTTGGAAAATATGAAAAGAAAATGGAAATGTATTTTTGAACACAAAGTTATCAATCAATAAGATATTTCTAACACACATTATGGACATGCTTAGAATTACACCTCAAAAAACATTCTGCTACTTCTCTCAAGTATGGGGATACCACATGTGTAAGACCTTTTCAATGTCTAGAGTGGTTATGTACCCTCAACCAATAAATTTGCTTGACTGTTCAAAACCAAATTACCGTATTTTTCGCTCCATAAAATGCACTTTTTTCCCCCCAAAAAAGGGGGGAAAATGTCAGTGCGTCTTATGGAGCGAATATAAGGCGGCCGGTCCGGTATTTTTGCGGCCACCATGTCAGAATACCGGGCCGGCCGCTCAGCTGTTGTCTCCTGCAAGGCCTTACCTGTTCCTCGCTCCAGCGCTGCACAGTCTTCCCGCGCTGGCTTCTGTGACAGCCGGGTGCCCACTGCGCATGTGCTGCGCTTTGTGAATAATCCGGTGTCCTCTGGGACACATGAAAGGTCCCAGAAGGCGCCGGGCCATTCACAAATCGCAGCGCTTCTCGCACATGCGCAGTGGGCACCCGGCTGTCACAGAAGCCGGCCCGGGAAGAAGCAGGAAGGACAACTCCGCGGAAGTGGGAGCGGGTACCTGTCAAATTCAGGTACCCGCTCCCCCTCCCTCCTCAAAGGTCAGCAGTCTCTGGTCATTCCCTTCACTGTCTGCAGTCTCTGGTCATTCCCTGCACTGTCTGCAGTCTCTGGTCATTCCCTACACTGTCTGCAGTCTCTGGTCATTCCCTGCACTGTCTGCAGTCTCTGGTCATCCCCTGCACTGTCTGCAGTCTCTGGTCATTCCCTGTACTGTCCGCAGTCTCTGGTCATCCCCTGCACTGTCCGCAGTCTCTGGTCATTCCCTGCACTGTCCGCAGTCTCTGGTCATCCCCTGCACTGTGTCCGCAGTCTCTGGTCATCTCCTGCACTGTGTCCGCAGTCTGTGGTCATCCCCTGCACTGTGTCCGCAGTCTCTGGTCATCTCCTGCACTGTGTCCGCAGTCTCTGGTCATCTCCTGCACTGTGTCCGCAGTCTCTGGTCATCTCCTGCACTGTGTCCGCAGTCTATGGTCATCTCCTGCACTGTGTCTGCAGTCTCTGGTCATCCCCTGCACTGTGTCCGCAGTCTCTGGTCATCCCCTGTACTGTGTCCGCAGTCTCTGGTCATCTCCTGCACTGTGTTCGCAGTCTCTGGTCATCTCCTGCACTGTGTCCGCAGTCTCTGGTCATCTCATGTACTGTGTCCGCAGTCTCTGGTCATCTCCTGTACTGTGTCCGCAGTCTCTGGTCATCTCCTGTACTGTGTCCGCAGTCTCTGGTCATCTCCTGTACTGTGTCCGCAGTCTCTGGTCATCTCCTGTACTACGTCCGCAGTCTCTGGTCATCTCCTGTACTATGTCTGCAGTCTCTGGTCATCTCCTGTACTGTGTCCGCAGTCTCTGGTCATCCCCTGTACTGTGTCTGCAGTCCATTGGTTCAGAATATTTTTTTTTTCTTGTTTTTCACCTCTAAAACCTAGGTGCGTCTTATGGTCAGGTGCGTCTTATGGAGTGAAAAATACGGTAATCAGGGACTACTTTATGGGAATCATGACTGATAAAGCAATGCAAAAGCTGTGCGTCAATATCTCTATGCACAGAACCCTCTAAGCCCTAAAACTTAACTTTTATTCATACACAGATTATGTACTTTGCCATCTGTATATCACAAAGATCATACCACACTGTTTAGAAACCAATATACTATAATGGTTGCCTCTATATGAATGGTCAGTTCAGCATGAACATAGCATAGTGTAGCTTCACCTACAGCAGTCCCTGTTCCTAAAAGCCAAAAAGGCCTAATCTACTGGTACGTGGTTGCCCTCATAGCACAATACACATGTTCACTGGCTAGGAAGTACAGGAGACTGAACAAATGTAAAAAAAAAAGTCCCAGTGGATACAGTAGTGCAGTTTTCTGCAGAGAATGGGTGTCAGAGGTGTCTCGCAGGAATGTAGCCAGTGGGGCGTGCAGATGGGTTAGTACTGGTGCCAGGCAGAGGCATGATCAGCAGACAGGTAACAGAATGGTCCAAGCAGAAGAGAGTAACATAGTCTACAAATAGACCAGAATCGGTGCAGGCAGAGACATGGCCAGCAAATAGCCAAAGTATTGGTCCTGGCAGCAGGCAGGAACTTGGTCCATAAACAGGCCAGGGTCAGTACAGGCAGCAGGCAGAGATGTGGTCATCAGATTGCAAAAGGATTGGCCCAGGCAGAAATATCAGCCTTAGGGGCTCAGTCAGGTAAGACTAGACACAATGGTAGAGGCTTCTTGCCACCCAAAGTTCTTCAAAGCCTTGGGACTCTAGCTCCTGATCTGGGAATTATAAAACCAGGAAAACACCAAAAGATTAATTTTCTTTTCTAGGAAACACTAATCTGGGGCCCTTCAATGTGCATAAGTGAGAACCCTGTGTTGTCTTCAATCCCAATCCTACACTGGCAGAGCCTCACCTCACATCAGGCAAAATATCAGTCTAGACAGAAGACAAAAAACATGGTCAATTAACAGGCCAAGGTCAATTTAGGCAGAGGGCAGAAATGTAGTCGATAAACAAGCCAGAGTCAGTTCAGGCAGCAGGTGCAGCCATGGTCAGTGCACAGGCAAAGGGTCGGTCCAGGCAGCAAGCAGAAACATGGTTGAAACATGCCCTACTTTTCTTCATAAACCCAGATGTTATACATGTACCCAACAGTCCTCTCACAAAGTTGTATAACTTCTCCCTGTATCTGACCTGTTAATTTGGAATATATTGTTTGATGACCAACCTGGCGGTAAAACGGATGACAGCAATGACATAGCAAACAATACCAAGTGGAAGTAAGCATTGGGTTTCTCTGCTCTCAGTGTGAGAGCAGAGAGAAGCAATGCTGCAGCCTGTGAGTGTACAGCAACCTGTCAGGCTGCTTGTACACTCACAGACTGCAGTGCCAGCCAGACCTAGTGTCCCTGATCACTGCCACAGTGTTCCTGATCATCACCATACCCAATCCCAGCATTCTGATCACCCCATACATCATACCAGTGTCTCCAGATCACCGCCATACCAACATACTGATCACCGCCATATCTCATGCCAGTGTCCTGATCAATGCTATACCCCATAGCAGCATCTTGAATCACTATCATACCTGTGTCCTGATCACCACCATACCACATGCTAACTTCCTTATTACTGCTATACCTCTTGCCATCGTCCTGATCACTGCCATGGGGGGGGGGGGGCATGTGCCCAGGGTGCGGCATTGAAAGGGGCACCATGGCTGGTACTGATCTTCCTGCAGCAGCTGAAACCCCTCGTCTACTTCTCTCCTCCCCATCAGCATTCAACTACTGCAGGAGGAAAAATACAGGAATTGGTGCCAGTAAATGCCACCCCAGCTGTCAGTCCTGTCCATGTCCCTTATTCTTAGGCTGTCCAGTGCTCATACTCCTTTGGTTCCCTGCCCCTTGTGTTCCTCTGGTCCCCCCGCAGCACTCTCCTCCTCTCCTGCTGGCTAGCTGTGCAGTAAGATGGTGGGCTGCATAAAGGCATAATCCTCCTCAACATGGAGAAGTTCAGCATGCGATAAGTAAGACAGCCACAAAATAGTTGCAACATAATCTTCCTCGGCACTTGTTCTCCTGGTCTTCTCTCTCCCCACTCTCCATCCTGCTGGTTGCTGTGGGGAATCTATTCAGGATGGAGAGCGGGAGAGAGAAAGACCAGGAGAATGAGTGCTGAGGAAGGATTATGCCTTTATTCATTCCACCCGCTTACAGCACAGCTATCTGGCAGGAGATGAGGGGAGCACTGTGGGGGACCAGCTGGCAGCTGCCTTCACAGATATTGCTTGGGAGTCTGTGACTTTCTCTCTTTCCTGCCTTACTGGGCTTCTTTTTATCCCACCTGTCTATTGCATCAGCTGTTGCACACTGGGCACAATGCACCCCTGAACCCTACACTCTTTACACAGTGCACCCCGAGACCCTACACTCTGTACATAGTGCACATCTAAACCCTGCACTCTGTACACAGTGCACTCCTAAACCCTTCACTCTGTACACAGTGCACTCCTAAGCCCTGGACTCTGTACTCAGCTCACCCCTGAACCCTGTACTCTTTTCACAGTGCATCCCTGATCCCTGCAATCTGTATGTAGTACATCCTCAAACCATGCACACTGTACACAGCATACCCCTAAAACCTGCACTCTGTACATAGACCACCCCTAAACCCTGCACTCTGTGCACTGTGCACCCCTAAAACCACTGAACTGTGTACATAGAGCATCTCTAAAACCTGCATTCTGAACACAGCACACCCCTAAACCCTTTAATCTTTACACAGCGCACCCCTGGACCCTGCTCCTTGTACATACTGTAGCTTACCCCTAAACCCTACAGTCTGCACACAGTTAACCCCTAAAACCTGAAGTCTTTTCACAGCACGCCCCTGAACCTTGCACTCTGTATGTAGTGCTGAGGCTGCTGAGAAAGGGACTGGGGAATCTGTCCTCAGTCCCTTTATTTGCCTAAAAAAATCAGGCATTAGGGGCATTTTTAGGCATTGTTGGCAGTTTGGTATCTTCACCCTGGGTGCTGAATGAACTTGTTCTGGTATGGAAGGGGGTGCCGAACTGAGTCTTTTCCCTGGATAAAAGAATGTTTATGCTGAAGACTGCACTGGACTGACTGGATTCACAGTCACAGGTCATAGGTGAGTGGTTGCGTGGGTGGGTAGGGAGATGTCCCTCCAGTCAGTTGTACCCAATGGTGGATATTGGCTGTAAACCTTCTTAGGGTTTTGGCTGCTGCCCTTCTGGTACAGCCTTGAGGTCGTTTCCACATGTATACTTGGAATAATAGAAAAGAAGGAGTGCCCAATGTCCAAAAGAATGCACTTTTGATGGTTGATTAAGAGGCACTTGTTGAGAGTAATGACAAGTACAGCAATCCAACATGTTTCAGGAGAAAAGACTTTCCCTTCTTCAGGGCTTTGTCTGTTCAGAAGAAATTGCTGTTTGTTGCTCCATGTTTTTCTATTACAGAATGTGAGGATCTGCCTTAATTAGAATCACTTGAACAAATCTCTCTAATGAGGAAAGCTTTGGAGCTCGGGTGAAAGAATGTCTTGCTTCACCACTGACAGAACCATTGCTGTCCACGGCTTCATATTCAGAATCTGAGTGTGACAGTGAGAGTTCCCTGCTACTTTCATCTGTCATGCAGTAAACAAGACATTGGCGGTGATCAGGACACTGGTATGGCAGTGTTCTGTGTGTGTGTGTGAACTGTGCGACAGGCTGTGGGTACTCTCTTTACTGTTGTAATGGTTCTCTCTCCTCTCACAGATGATCTCTGTGTGAGGAGAGAGAGCACAAAGCAGCACCATGCAGCTTTTGTTTACATTTTGTGATGCTGTGATTGGAAACAGCAATCATATGATATAGGAACAATTTAATTTATCCTTTACCATATGATGTGATCTACAGTGACACAGAGATCACTGGATTTGTGGTTGTGTACTAAGTCGCGGGAGGACTTACAGGTATATCCACTCACATCAGTGTTGCTCCTGTCCGGCCATTTTTATACATTGACCTGGCAGGAGATGGTGAAGGACTTCCTGCTCATGTTTATTCATCACCACTGCACAAAAAAAAAGAGTTTTCCGTTGAAAGGATCTGTGTCAGCACAATCCAATAAGCAACAAACTATTCAGCCAACTGACTAAATGTGAGATAGTGAAATAGTTTCGGTCTGCTTAGACCTGCTGCCACCACCATGTTTCACGGTGGGGATGGTGTGTTCAGGGTGATGTGCAGTGTTCGTTTTCCAACACACATTGTAGTTTGCTATTAGGTCAAAAAGTTCAATTTTGGTCTCATCAAACCAGAGCACCTTCTTCCACATGCTTGCTGTGTCCCCACATGGCTTCTTGCAAACTGCAAACGGGACTTCTTCTGGCTTTTCCTCAACAATTTTTTTCTTCCTGCCACTCTTCCATAAAGGCCAGATTTGTGGAGTGCACGACTGTCCTGTGGACAGATTCGCCCACCTGAGCTGTGGATCTCTGTAGCTCGTCCAAAGTTACCATGGGCCTCTTTGCGGTTTCTCTGATTAATGATGTCCTTGTCCGACCTGTCAGTTTAGGTGCACAGCCATGTCTTGGTAGGTCTGAAGTTGTGTGCCATACTCTTTCCATTTTCGGATGATGGATTGAACAGTGCTCCGTGAGATATTCAAATCTTGGTATATTTTTTTTTATAACCTAACCCTGCTTTAAACTTCTCCACAACGTTATGCTTGACTTGTCTGGTGTGTTCCTTGGCCTTCATGACACTGTTTGTTCACTAATTTCCTCTAACAAAACCTCTGAGGGCTTCACAGAACAGCTGTCATTATACTTAGATTAAATTACACAACGGTGTACTCTATTTACTAATTAGATGACTTCTGAAAGCAATTGGTTCCACTAGATTTTAGTTAAGGGTATCAGAGTA